AAATTTTCACAGGCCCTTGGCAGCTTACAGTGGGCTTAACATTTTTTTAATATTTTTAAATAAGTTTTAAAATATTTTGTAGCTTATGACAAGTTTGGTTATTGCTTACGTTCGAGTTCCCATCATTGTCATCATTTTTATAAAGTCATTTGATTCACTTTTGATTTGATTTCTTTGCATTTCATAATTTTTTGCTGTGGTATATTTAAAATTAAATGCTTGTCACCTGAAAGCTCCATTTTATTTAAATATAAATATAATAAAAATAGAACAATGGTTTAAACGCCGCGCTTCCGGTGATTTGTGATGATGTTAACCCAAAAAAAAACATCTGAAAAATAATCAATACTCCTCATTAAATCCACAGTGCGGCGATAGTTCGATGAGGTGTTCCCCAAACCCGAACCCCGCTAAAAAACCGAGAGGCATGCAACGAAGCATGCGAAAATTTGGCTAATACGGAATGCAGGCTAAGAAATTCAAAGTGCATAGATTAAAGCGCAATGAAATCGGGCAAGGGCAATGTGCAAGCGTCCCGCCGGAAACTGAAGGGATATACCCGTTCCCTCCCCGCACTCCTCACCCCGGAAAACCCCGACTTGCACCTTTTGGATGGAGGAAAGCAAACTTAATGCAATCAAGCTTAATGCAGCGCAACGGCTGCCAGACGACGTCTTCGAGGGGGAAAGCGGTGGGTGAAAGTCGGGGAAAACTGAGGCAAAGTGAATCCTTTGGGTATACCTGCGGTGAATTTTTAAGCAATTTACATAATAATTATCGAGGCAACGCTGCAAGTTGTTGGAAAGCGGAGGAAAACCAAGCCAAATAGGGCTTCCGCCCGCAATTATCGAACAAAACTTTGGGCCCAACTCGAGGCTGGGCTTTGTCTGTGGCTTCACAGGCCATAAATTGAAATTGAATATTCAATAGCTTAGGAACTCTCACGAAACACTTACAATATTATTGGATTTTCACGAAATTAATTCTGATTAAATACAATTAACTTTTCTGATGTTTTTATCGCAATAAAATAATAAGTTCCTTTTTCTTTAAAAGCCTTTAATGTTTGCAATCATTTAATATTTGTCACAGAATATCCAACATTTGCTTCTAATTATTTTTAGTCGAGATAAAGTTTTCGTTCGTAAATCAATTTGTAGCGAAAATGTTCGCCATTTGATATATTGCTAAGTAGTTCCAACTCAGTTCTTAAGATTCGTCAGGAGCGAAAAGCAGTAAAACTTTAAGTCAATCAGGAAAAGCAGTTTTTGAAAAGTGCTCGCAAATCCGAGCGCAACGAAGGATTTTGAAAAATATTTGACATTTACATTGTGCGGGTCGCGGGGAAAAGGACACTGACGATTGGGGAAAATGGCGCGGGAAACTCAGTGGAGGAAAAGCGGGGGGACGTTGAGCGCTTGTTTAACTTAAATTGCTTTGCTCTGGCGTTGTCGAGATGGCGAAACAAAAGCCAACAACTGCAACTTTGCTCAATGCGCTTCCGTTTCCGCTACCCAGTTTTCCCCCTCCCCATTTTCCCCATTTTTCCCGGCTTTTCCCCCCATTTTTCCAACCGTTTTTCCCACCGCTTTTCGAGCAGCTCCTTGGCACGGCCAAAGTTTGGCATTGTTGTCTTTGGCTGTTGCTTGTGGCAATCACTTTCATTCGTTTTCCCCTCAGAAAAACCGCCAAACACTTCCGCCCTTCCGCGCACCTCTCCACCCCCCACCCACCCTTTAAGCCATGTCTTTGTGGCAAAGTTTAAGTATAAAATTAAGTTTCTTTTGGCTTTGAAAATGCATTTTCCAGCGTCAGCTTGATTTACCCCATGGAATTGCATACGTTTTTTGATTGAGCAATTAGGGCAACACCGAAACCTGGTTGGTTGGTGGGTTCTGTGCGGTTCTGATTGCTTTTCAAATTTCATTTAAAGTGTCAGCCACACCAGAGAAACTATTCCATTTTCATAATTTGACATCCATTGCGGGACAGTTTTGGCATTGTATTTCGATTATGTCAGCTCGGCCAACGAATGGAGTTTCAGGTGGTTCATGCTGTTCCGCAGAGGAAATGGTTGGGCTCCTCTGTCCAACTGTCCACTGCAATGGACCGCACTCATGATTAGTGGTCGCCATGACTTCTGTCCCGCTGATATTCGAAACCGTTTCGGTCGGACAATATGGAATGCGAAACATTTTTGGACAGGGCAATGCAAATGGAGGGGGTGGTGGTTTGGGGTGTTATGTTGGTTTCAGAACAAAGGTTTTTCGTTCGAGTGGCAACATTCATTTAAAGGCATTTCTCCCATAAATAGCTTTCTTAGTTGCACTGCTTATTTTTGGCAATATTCTTTCTTTCTCGTCTCAAACATTTCTCCTCAATTTCTCTTTAATTTTGCCCAGATTAGCTTAATTCCTTAAATGTGAAAGTATTTATTGCAGAAGGTAATTTGACATTTAACTATTGAAGAGATTTTATTCAGCTAGGGATGATATTACAGGATATTGATATTAAAGGACTATAAAGAACCATATAATTTTTACCTAACAATTTTTTTCTAGAATCCTGATAAATTATACACCTATAACAATTCACAAACTTAAGTTCCACCGGCATTTTAAACAAGCAAAATCAGTTTACCACCGCCGTGAAAACCACCGTGTCCCACAGATAACTTAATTTTAAAAAACGCTGGCCAACCGATGACATTTAAAGCCAAACGCTTAATTGCAAGTGCCAATCGGCAGTTTCCCCGATCAGCAGGACTTCCCCTTCCGCTTCTCCCCCCCGCGCCCACTACAGTTTCGCCACTTTGGCTTATCACACGATGGCGTTGTCCTTGTGCTCCTGCCGAAGTGAAAACCACAGGGGAAAAAACAAATATAAAGCGTAAGCGAAAAACAAACAAAATGCAACTTGCAATGAAAATGAAACCACAAAAGGGGGCGGGGCATAAGGGCGGGCAAGGAGAAAAAACGTAAGCCATTTACTCGTTAACTGTTAATTCAGAACCAGCAAATGAAGAGGGGCATAAAAAACACTGTGGTTTCTCGACACTTTGGAAATCCTTATTTGATAAAGTTTGAAAAACGTTAAGGAGCTTACAAATATTTTCTATATTTCAACGATTAAATCACATAACAGTTCCTAAAAAATGTACTTAATACTTACATATACCATTAAAGATTAAAATTTGACGTTTCTATTTCCAAAAATATCCGGAGGATATTCATTTAATAGTAATACTAATTTTGATACTAACTAGGGTTAACTTAAAATTCATGCAAATTAAATGGAATTCATTTATGAAAGGTTTGTTTTAGATGAAAATAGAAAGATTTATTTTATTTAAAAATAATTTTCGAGTGATCACTGTAGCTGCAATGTTTGAAAGGGCATACGTGCCAGAGTGTGGCTAATAACAGAGCGACAGTGCCGACACAACACATTTGCACATCAAATTAGATTTAATTTCGAAAACAGCACAAAAAATGTCTCTTTTTAGCAAGAAAAAGGAAAAGAACAACAAAGTTAGCGTTAGCAAAAATGGAGAACTGAACACACGAAACCAAGTCAACACGCAGGAGCAACAAAAAACGTGAAAAATGTGACAACCCACAGACAAAATGTCGTAAAGATGCCAAAAAACACACAGGAAATGGAGTCACGTGTCCTTTACGTTTAAATTACTCCACTGGGAACACTCGCACTCACATGTACCCACACACATGCAGGCGCGAATGCAAGTGAAGCCTTATAGGAGGTCCTTCGAAATACACTTATCCTTACAAGGATCCTTCGCGAGGCTCTTGAATGACCCGAAAACAATATTATTGACAGCACAACATTCGAATTTGAATTTTTGGCGGGCACTATTTGCAAGTGTTGCATACTCTTGGGCAGCAAGAATTTAGCAACACCTTCACTGTTGTTTTATAGCACCCTGTTAACATATGTTAGTTAACATTTGTTTTCCTGCTAAAATTTAGTACATTTATAGTATATAAAAGAAAGTGAAGTGAAAATAAGTATAAGTAAATAAATAAGTATAAGTAGTGAAGTGAAATAGCATTGTTAAATCAAATTATTTCATTAAAATTAACTATTCAGAATTTGTGTGCTATTTTGTCTGAAAATGTATTTAAGCTATTAAGTTATTTGAACGATTAAAATTCAATTAAGATCAGTGAATAATTCAATTATTCAGCAACATTGAAGCTAAGCTGGTTTTATTTCACTCCAAATTAATAAACGTCCGCTCAGAAGTTAATTTTTCATTTCGTTTGATTGTTTATAGTTTTATGGGGATTTCCCGTCATATATTTCAAAGCTGACCACTGCGAAACGGAAAAGCACCATTTAAACCCGTCATATTCGCGCCAAGAAATAGGGATAACAATTCATACTGGACACAAAAAACAAAGGCATAGCGAAGTTAAGCCTACCTAAACGACTTTTAAATGCCCTGAAAATTAAATTTGATATCTTAACTGGAGTTTTCCAGTGGAATTATCAAATCAGAGCTCCTACTTTTTGATTTCTCCCTACACCCAAAAAAAAAACCGAAAGTGTAATTTTAATAAACGTGTATTAAAAAGAAACTATCGACAGTATTAAAGTATACGTATTAATTCAATACCTAAGAATATAACGCCTATACTTTTTAGTGTCAATTCTATACCGAAGAGTCTACAATTCTAATATGTGGTGTAATTTTTATACCACATACAAATAATTTTTCAGTTTAAAATTAATACTCCTGGCTTCAAGAAAAAACTACAGGCAGTATACAGGAAGTCAGTATTAATTTATTACCAAATAATATGAAACCTATACTCAGTAGTAGTAATTCAACACCACATATTATAAGGCCAATACTCTGTAGTTTAAAATTTAAACCGGAGTTTCGATTTTTGTCTTTGGTGTGAGACCAAGTCGAATGCGACAGTTCGATCTCAAAACGCGTTACCACATCTTAGTGGTTTTCGTCGCGTTAGTGCCTAATTGCCGTCATCGGGTTCCTGCATTCTGGTGAAATTCGTGAAGAGAAAAAGACGTAAGTAAAGTGAAATTATTAAAAAATAAAGGCAACCATATTTTATCCTTATTGGTTGATTGTGTGGAAATATGTAAGAGTAATCGAGTGGCCAGATTGATCTCGTATAATAATCATAATCGGAATTAAAGTATCGTACATTTACTTTAAAATGTTCTATTTTCCGTTTTCATCCCCCAGTTTCCATGGTAACAAGTGATTTGCGCAGTCGCATTTCCATATATGTGTATGTACATATTTACATATTCGCATGCGCAAATCACTTGTTACCATGGAAACTGGGGGATGAAAACGGAAAAGTGCGCAGTTGTTTTGTTTTTTTGTTGTGCTTTGCGATAGATACATACATACATACTTACATACATATGTATGTACATTTGTACGAGTGGCCCAAAACTTGTAAACATATTGTCTTGTTTTTTAAATTTCAATGTAATGCAATAACAAACAAATTTAGTTTATTTCAGCTTTTCAAATAATGGACGCACTACAAAAATTTGTAACTGAAAATGATTTGGACCTAGTTTGCCTTATACATTTAATTGGTAAGTTACTTTAAATATAATAGTAAATATTAAGTTATTTTAATTATAAAATGAATTTATAGACTGTGGCTATACCTATGAAAAAACATCATCTGTAGTTCAGAAAATAGTTTGGATGCAATTGTTAAGGAGTTTCCTTTGTTTAAGCAGGCCATGGGACATAAATTTGTAAGCATGATGCCCAGTTTTGGGGTTTTAACTGTTTGTGATGTTTCGTAATGTTATTATATGTTTAAACCCATTTATATTCTTCTTTATATATTAACGTTTTACTTTTACTTTTAGTTGGAACACGATTTTAATATACTGTACCCGAACAGAAAATATTGCTTAACAACTAAGGGGGAGGAAATAGTCCCGAAGCTTATATCGTACTACTCTATTAACGTCAAGGACAAATTTTAACAAAATCTCTTTACCTCATTAAGTTTTTCTGTTTCTCCAAGTAAGTAGTTTTTATAATATTTTTCTGTTTGAAATTTAATAACTTAATGTTTGTATTGTAGGCTCAAAAGACTGCATAATATTTATGCTTTTGCACGCTGTTGTAAAGCCCTCTTACCGATATACAGTAACACAAGTCAGCGAGAAGTTTTGTCGTAAGGCAACAATTCAAGACAGCGTGAGCAGCACTATTTTGCATGTTGAAGCCATAAATGACTTGCAAAATAAACTGGAAGAGGTTAACAGGAAATATGTGGAGAATAATACGCCTATTCAACCATTTATAATTGTTGTGGGTATAGATATCCAAAACTTGACAGAGTTTTATGTAAGCTTTGGGGAAAGCCTGTACAAATTTAGTTCGTTTATAGTAGCTTTAGATATTTGTTTTAAAGTCTATCAGGTATTCGGCCTTAACTACCCAAAGGAGTCCAACAAGATATGGACTTTCTTACAGGATTTTGTTTTTAATATAAAAACTCCATTCGATGTTAAATATTCTTGTGTGTCTAGTTTAATTGAATCAACTTTTATCAATACATTAAATAACTTAGAAAATAATTTTAAAGACGTTGTAATAAATAGCTTAGAGTACAAAGGTATTATATATAAAAATGATTTTTGTTTAACTCTAAAAAAATATGGGGAGGGTATAAAATTGCATAAAATAAGATACATTTTAATTAACCATGAAGATGAAATATTTATTTTAAGTGACCAGTATAATCTTTTTGAGTTTGATGAGCATTACCAATCTTATAAACTTGGTCAAAAAGAAAATTTCCTACAAATTAATAAAATAAATATTTTTAAGGGACCCCCCACTACCATTTATAAAAAATCGAATGTTAGTTATGTAAGAATTAAATCATTCTAATTCTAATTTTAATTATAAAAATATTAGTATAATATATAATATTAAAAACATATAATAAATAATAAGTAAGAAAAAAAAATTCAGCGCATTTTTACTGGGAGAAATATGTATACTACAAGGAAACCAAATAGTATAATTTTTATACTGCAACTCTTAGAAATTAGTATAACTATTATACGAAGTAGTACGAAATGTATACTACATGCCGTATACTATGTATACTACTTGGTATTTTTGTTATACTAAATAGTATAAAAAATAAACCAGGAGATTCCGTATGAGTATATCGAGTGAGTTTAAATTTTATACTCGGCAGTATAAAATTGATAACATCGAAAGTTGTATTTTAATACTATCGAAGTTTTTATTTAATACTCATCTTATAGAGAAATTTTTTATACTGAATAGTGTAGAATTCATGTAACAATAGTTTCGTTTCTATGACTATTTTTTTTTGGGTGTAGTTTCTCTATTCAAATTCGACGGTGAACATGTTAATTCCCTGTGGTCTTAATTGACTGCCATTGCCATGGCAATTTAAAAGAGATTTCCATTGCCTTTGGGCACCTTCGATTGCATGTGGAGTCGCCGTCTTTTCTTGCATGGATTTTCTTCATTTGCCGGTATCAAGTGAAAATCATCAGTTTTCATTTCTAGCGTTTAGAGACGGCCACCCTTTCGCCATTTGAATGTGTGGCTCATTTTTGAATTGCAAATGCGGACCCCCAGTGCGAGTGCATTTCTCACATGAGTTTTGAAAGGAGGAGGTCCTGGGAGGTCCTGGCCATCGCATGCCAGTCGAACGTTGCAGCTTTATAATGTCCTGCTGTTAGCGCCAGTTGCCCATTGGTGTTGCTCTGCTTTTTCACCGCCGTGGTTTCGGGGTAATTAAAAACCAGTTCAGCTGTAAGCAGGGGATTTAGAATGGACTTCATGGCGTATACGCAATTTAAATATGCTTATCAACAAATCTTCCTTGAGGTTTAATGCCCAAGCTTAGAATTTATACCTCAATTTAGTTTATTTATTCTAAAAGTTAAGTAATAATATTTACAGAAAACTTAGATTTGGCTAAGAATTTAGAAAGAACGAATAATGGTTTTAGTTTTAGTAATGGAACAAAACATTTCAATATATTTTTGAAATTATATTTTTTAGGCTATCAGCAATTCGTTCCTTTTAATTTTTCTAAACTAATTCCCGTCTTCTTCTTCAGCAAACACACTTTGTGGCTAACTAGTGTGGGTTTCTTCCTTTAGCTCGACAATTAAAACTTAATTAAAATTGCATGCACTTTAACCTTCGCCCTGAACTTTAATTGCTTTAAATTACAATATATTTATATGCGCTTAACACGACTTTCACGCCCACCTGCCCAGATTATATAATCGTTAAGCCCATAACCAAATGAGACATTAAATGGAAGCAAAGTGTTATTAGTTGGGTTTTTGGAGGTCGTTTTAAAATTAATTTTTCTTTTTAATTTGACTTTAATTTTTCTGGTTTAGATTTGGCTAAGAATTTAGAAAGAACGAATAATGGTTTTAGTTTTAGTAATGGAACAAAACATTTCAATATATTTTTGAAATTATATTTTTTAGGCTATCAGCAATTCGTTCCTTTTAATTTTTCTAAACTAATTCCCGTCTTCTTCTTCAGCAAACACACTTTGTGGCTAACTAGTGTGGGTTTCTTCCTTTAGCTCGACAATTAAAACTTAATTAAAAACTTGTTTTAATAAAATAATTAGTGATTTAAGTTTGTTTAGCTTTTTCATTCAAAATGTTCTGTTGGCGGGAACTTTAAAAAATGTACATAACCCTGTTAGCACTAACCATACAACATATGTTGTTGTTAGTCAACAAAGCCATGTTAATAAATCAGCTCTTTGTGAAAATCTGCCTCCTCTTTAAGTCATTCCCATTCTTTATTATTTTTTGGCGAGTTTAAATTAAATAAAACCTAAAAAGCTTAATTTTAACTTAATGGCTGTTACAAAATATAGTTATCGATCATAGCTCATATTTTCGTTACATTCAACTATCGCTGTTTCGCAATGTTAAAATTAAAATGCTGTTATATGATAAATAGGAATGTTAACCAAAATTAAAATTAATTGAAGTTTAAGTATTCCTACAGATATGAGTACTAACATTTATTTTCCGTGTAACCGCCATCGCTTACTATCGAAACTAAGCCCCGATAGTATCGACAGCCCCGAGTACCCTCTCTAATGACTCGCATTGTTTACATTATTTCGCAGGCTGAAAATTAATAGAAACTCGGTGAATATAAAAGTAATTCCCGTGGCAAAGCCAAGCCTCAGTTTTACATGAGCTGCCGACGGCAGAAGTACGTATCCGGAGGGCCAAGGAGCGCCATTGGAGGCCATCGAGGAGTCGCAATCGCGGGCTTGCAGCCACATTTCTGGCGTGACTGCGGCGCATTAAATCACCGGCCAAATCGCGGCGACGAACAACAACCGGAAGTGCAGCGCGAAAGGAGCAACTGGTGGTCACACAAATGGAGGTTTACGCCTGGGTAGGAAGCCCCCTTCATCCACCCCAAGAAACACTGGATATCTTCGGCAACCGAAGATTGGAACACCCTTGCAGACCAAGTATTCTCAGTGGAAACTATAGATTATTTGTCATCCGATTTAATCCGATTTGTGAACTCACAATAATGATAGGATTTCAAATAATAGATAACTATTATGTTGATTTAGCAACATTCGCTAGCTCAGTTTTCATTCTATAATTCATAGAAAGGCATTGGCAAAAGGTTAACTTTTAAAAATTCCTAAAAAAAGACAATATTCCGATTAATACCATAGTTATATAGCCACAGGAATGGATCTAGGATTTCTAAAAATTAATTTTTGATATTTTAAAATTGTGGGAAACTAAGTTTACAAAATCTTTAAATTAAAAGCTAGATTTTTGAAAGACAATTTGTTCTCTGCTTTCCCAATAAATATGTTCGAATGTTAGAAACATTAGGTCTTCAGGTTTTGCCTACCAACTGCATTTTATAGAGTCCCCTACTCTTTGTTCTAAACTTTGCGCTAAAATTATACCACCTTCTGCAAGGGTATGCCAAAAAAAAACTCCAGAGACATCGCATTGGCGAATTTGCATTGCAAATTAATGAGTGATTTCCTTCGGTTGGGTTTTCCCCTTTTTTTTGTCATGTCTTAGGGTGCCAATTCTCACGGCCAGCTCGGCCTTGGCTTTGAGTCGGAATTGTGCATGACACCGCAGCGGGTGACCAAATGCTCCTTCGCCGTCTCCCAGGTGCGCCTCATTCGCGGAGGTGGTGGCCACGTCCTCATCCTCGACACGAACGGAAGGGTTCACTCCTGCGGCTGGAATAATCGTGGGCAACTGGGACTGGACTCCACGGAGGAGTGCCACAACGAGTTCAAGATGATTCCCACCGAGTACTTTGGGGTAAGAAACCAGAAAGATCTTAATGAATATAATCCCTTTCAAATATATCACTTTTTGGAGACCGAAGACAAAACTGAAGACCATTGGACCATTTTTAGTTTGATATTTAATCAGAATAAAAAATATTTTATATGCCAGGACTAATTGATTTAATTTCCTATATTCCAGGAAGTACCTGTGGAAACCATCAGTTGTGGATGGGATATTTCAGGAGCAATAACGCTAACCAAACGTCTATATGTCTGGGGCTCGAATGCGTTCCAGCAGTTGGGGATTTGCCAGCGCGGATTCATTGCAGTCAGACGACCGATGCCAGTAAAACTGCCGCGTGAGGAGCCCGCTCAAAGGATCAGCTTTGGCATGCGGCACTGTGCCGTCCTCACGCAGGACAACAAGATCTATGTTTTCGGACGACTCAGAATCATGGATCCACCGCCCATTGAACTGGATATCACGGCCACCTGCCTGCACCGGTGCAATACGGTGAAGATACAGGTCCACAATCCGAACGAGCTGCGGATAGTTTCCATTTCGAGTGGCCAGAATCATATGCTGCTCAAGTGCGTCGATCTCAGCGAGGCGGGCAATGGCAACACCAAGAGAATCCTGACCCTGGGAGACAACAAGTTCGGACAGTCGAATGCCTTTCAATTCGAGGAGGATGTGCGACAATTGGCCGTGGGCTGGACCCACAATGCGGCTGTGCTGAGAAACGGCGAGATCCTCGTGTGGGGTCGCAACTGCTATGGACAACTGGGAACCGGATCGTTCACCGAACAGCAGGCTATTCCCACGCCACTTCGCCTGAAACTTCCGGAGGATCAGAGCCCAGCCAGGATTCATATGGGAGCCGAGCACGGGCTACTTAGAACCACGGCTGGAGAGATTTACACCTGGGGATGGAACGAGCACGGAAATTGCGGCAACAACAGCACCGAAAATTTGTAAGCGTCGGAAGACAGAAAAGAGATGAATATGGTTATAATAGATTCTAAAGAACCTATAATGGCTTGCTCAAAATTTTATTAAGTAAATTTAAATGTATTTTTACAATATATTTTCAGATCCACCCCAACGCTTTTACAACTGCCCCCAGTTAAGTTGTGCGGCGCTGGAGCGGGATTTTGTTATGCGATTACAGAGCCTGTAAACGGACTTTGACTTTTTAAGCTTTTGTGGACTTTCGCTCTGCTAACAATTTTAAAACAAAGTTAATACTGTTGATAATAAAAACAATTGCCAGATTCGAACATTTGTTTGGTGAAGACCCATTAAATAGCGCACCAAATAATAATAAACAGGGAGAGGAATTTACGAGGTCGGAAGACTGCTATATTCTTTCCAGCGAATAAAATATACCCTTTTACTCTGCGACTAACGGGCATAAAAATAATTTATTTATAGCGCGGTCAAATATTTATTAACCCCATTAAATTTTGCTTTTAAATGTACAAATAATTTGGCTTTAAAAGAAACGTCAAAATAATCTTTATAAATTCTGACTTGCAAAGTTTGGTGTGCGAAATAGGGATTGCTTTTTTTGTTCTACGGTCACACTACGGATGTTTGACATTCACGCATGCGCAGTTTTCGGAGATTATTAAAGTGCCAAAAGGATTTAGCAAACAAATATTTAAATATTTGTTTATAGCATTGTTAACGCGTTAAAAAAACAACCTTTTCTTCTTATAGTCGAATAATATGGAATTTGCAAAGGTGGGTAAACATTTGCCAAAAAAAAATCATTGGAAAGTATTAAAAAAAAAAGTGAAAAAGAAATAAAAAATAGTAGATTTATTTATTTATAATACAATATAGAAAAAATATTAATGATTATACAGAGTAGTGTTGCAAAAAGTTTTGTCCAATGCTGCCCATTTATCTTATGTCAAAATTTTTTTTTCAACTAACATGTGCCTTTCATTTTTCCTGCAATTTCTTGGAAGTAAATTGACATTAGTTGGTGCTGCAGAGGCTATAAATTATATGTTTACGTGTAATTCAAGCCGGAATTCCTTTGGTTTATAAACAAGCGGAGAGTGCGAATTGTTTGGGTTAGTATTCAATTACTCCCTTACCGGCTTAAGGTTTTTATTTTAATTCTATTCAGTGAGCTGCGAAAGTTAGCTGAAAGAGGTTATTCCTAAAAAAATCGTAGTTAATTTAACGATGTCAGAGAATACCAATAAGTGCCAATTTTTGCCTGACGATCTGGATGCCAAGGAGACAGCGGCGGCCACTCTGGGTAAAAGTTCTTCTAAATTTGAGGGAATAATAAATTATGCAACATTCTTACAGCCAATATATCCAGTCAACTGGCCAAGAAAATCTGGGCCGTAACGCCCAACGATATTTGCCTGGGAATTGTGGAACCGCCCGAGCCATCTGTGCCCAATTATGGAACTGGAACTGGAAGTGCATCGGGATTGGGATCTTCGAGTAAGCCACCGGTGAACGATCACGCCTCGATTTACATAAGTGAGGTGGAGCGGGCTCTCTATGGAGATACCACTGGGTATCCGGAAAATGGCAGTCACAATTACTTCAAGGCCGCCGAGAATTACTCGGTGTTTGGCGAGAACTTTCTGGACTTTCCCAAGGACACCGCTTCTTGTTATGCCGGCTTGGGACCGATGGTGAGTCATGCCTCGAATCCAGCGCCGGGATTCGAACGCTCCGCCAGATTGTCTGCTCTTTATGATAGAAGACAAGCTCCGGGATCCAACTTTTCGGGGGTAAGATATATTTAAGCAGCCGCGGCACTAATCTATAAGTTATTGTAAGGGGTTTTCGATTTAATTAATGTTGATTAGTTCTCTTTTTGGTTCTGTTGGTTTAAGTAAAAGGCACATATTTCTACATCCATAAATATTTTGCTATATTTGACCGTTGGTTTAAGCACAAGAATCTAAAAACTATTAAAGCTAACTTGACGACATCCATTCTATCATCAAAAAATGTCTGAATTTTTATTATTTCATCTTCGAAAGTTTTTAGTCAATTTAGCACCCAAGTCGGATAAGATTGTTCTATTAATGTAAAAGTAAATTTGATGAGCTTACATATTCCGCTCTTCTCATATTTCAGGGCGGCTATCAGCAACAACAAAGGCAGCCACATCAGCAGCAGCAACAACAACATCGTCCACCTGGCTCCGATAACAACAACAGCAACAACAATCGCAATTTGACTAACAATTTCAATGAGATTCCGTTTCCACAATTTTATCATCAGATGCACCACCAACAACCGCCACAACCACATCTCAACCCACCTCAACACCAGCAGAATTTTAACTTGATCCAAAAGCCCCAGCAGCAAACAGGGCCTCCACACCCACAGCAGCAACATCAGCAGCAGCAGCAACATCAACAGCAGCAACACCAGCAACCAAATGGAGGGGATTTTGTGGGATTGGGTCACTCCAATCCCAATGATTTTTCCATAACGCAGATCTACCAGCAACTGATGGCTCGTAATCTGCGCTCCAATCAGCAGCACCACCAGCAACATCAGCAGCAGCAGCAGCAACAGGCAGCCCAACAGCAGCAGCAAACACCATCAAGTGCTGCCGCCACTGCTGCCATGATTTTTGCCAATCTTGAACGTCAGCAGCAGGTGCAATTGCGCCAGTTGCAACTGCAACAACTGCAACAGCAACAGTCACGTTTGCCACGTGGCATTTTTGGTAACAACGGTGGTCAGTCAAGTGGGGGATCAACTCCACCAACAGGCAAGGAACCTCCAGCAGGAAATCACAAATAGGACTGTATACATTCCAAATCAAACGGATTTCAAGGGAGTCCCCAAAAAGGTCAGACTTTAAATACTCCATAACCAAACGGAATTTAAATTAAATTAAATTTTAAATTCATCTAATTAACATTTTAACACTATTATTTCATCAGTTTATTCTTTGCTCTGTTTGTACTTGCTAGATTTGAAACTACTTAATTAATAACAATTTTGTGAAGTTTTTGAAGTCTAACCTCAAATAACAATTGATATGGTAGATAAAATAATAAACCAACTAAACAAATTTTATATTTTATTATATTGAATTTTATTTTTAATAAATGGCCATTTAAACACTGATGCAAATTACAAAAAAAGGAGTCTTTTCAAACTTAGAGCCGCTTAAACAGCCGGTGCTATACCCATTCTTTTTCTGGCCCAATCGAACTCCACATAGTTCTCCCTCAGAAAGACATCACCGATTATCCAGTATGTCAGACCACGCATATCCATAAAGCCGGAGTAGCAAAAGTCCTGAAACACAATCACATATGTCTGTGGCTTCACGTAAAACTCTTTGCCAGCGATTCCAAACACAATAATTGGAAGCGTGGGAATCGAAGAACAGTCGACGGTATAAAGATCATAGGTTGCATTATGCTGTGCTCCAATGGCGTTGTTCAGAGAAAGCACATCCAGAACGGGTCCAACTATCAAAGAGGTTCCCGTATCCATTATGGCCTTGCATCCGCCTTCGCAACGCCTTGAGCCCTTTCCATGGACCTCAACGAAATCCATTTTGAAAGTCCAATACTTGGCCTCGGTCACATTCGTGTAGGTCAAAGGACCATAGTACAGACTAGAGTTGGATCCACCAAGGATCATTGACCCACCGTCGCTGGAACCACTTTTCAGGTGGAACGAAAAGATTGGCTGCTCCACCAGTTTTTGATCAATCATCTGCTGGAAAAGAGGAGTAGACCCCGTCATGGAGAGTGGTTGAAAGGCAAGGCCACAGATTCCATCGAAATCGGAGCAGGAGTCGGAAATGTTGACCAGGCCAATGCCTTGGTTTTGGATCTTTAGATCCCCAAAACCGACATCATCTGAGGCCACAATTCCCTTCACCGATCCAGATCCATATGTGATGCTGAAGGGAACTTTGTCGGTATGAAAGGTTTTCGACTTGGACTCCTTGAAGAACTTATTGCCGCATTTTTTAATGCAAACTTGGCAATGAGAACTGGGCACCCAAAAGTCAGAGGATCCTGTGTCAAATTGCATAGTGAAAGGTTGTTCTCCAGTCGAAACTTCCCCGAAAAAGTTGGTGTCGTAGGAATTAATCAAGGTCTCCGATAACACTACTCCTTTGGAGTCACTTGCTTGATTTATAGTTGTACGAAGTGGCGTATACCCGTACTTTCTTCGCAGGGCATTGCGAAATTGCAGGTGCATATGAGCATGGGGCACTTTGTGATGTCGATGGGATCTCCTTTGCAGGCGAAATCGGTGAACTTTTCCAGCCACAAACACGACCAGGCAGAGAAGTAGGATAATCACACGTAAATTCATGGCGGCAAACTGATTTAGCTCCTAGTCAATCCACCTGTTTTATAGCTTTACGTTCTTGCCATTTATTTAAATTCACACGTAAAGTCGGTTAAGCATGGGACTTGAACTGAAATATGTGATATATTGTTAAAATGAATTAATATGAAAACAAAATTAATCGGCGTTTAATTTTTCGACGGGGATCATTTATTAAAAGTGGTTCATTCCATTGACAATAGGTTTTGAATAATTAGTTATTAAGTAGATTAATATGTTATTAACATAATGTAAATCAGAGGACTTGAGCTATTCCAATTAGTTTATAGAAAGCATCGTACACCAGTTAGTAAATTCCCAAGAAGATTTCGCCTTTCAAGAAGATGACATCCAATAGAATACTGTTCCTTAAGCAATCCACGAAAAATACCATTTTTGAAGTGTTGTGGTCGAGAATACCCAATATTTGATTGAGTAAATAGGTCAGAAATCCAAAATAATAAATAACATTTAACACTTTTATTCCATCAATTTATTTTTTGCTCTGTTTGTAGCAAGAACTAATTCTTTATAACAAATTTTTAACAAAACTAAAGTCTAGCCTCAAAATCAAAAGTTGGATACAATAATAATCAAATCAAAAAATTAATAAATGGCAAACAAAGCCTTATCCAATGGACGTTAATCCACTTCAGCAGCTCGTGCTATGCCGATTCTTTTTCTGGCCCAATCGAACTCCACATAGTTCTCCCTTATAAAGACATCGCCGATTATCCAGAAGGTCAGACCACGCAAGTCATTGAAGCCAGTAAAGCACATGTCCTCAAACACAATCACATATGTCTGTGGCGTTATGTAGAACTTTTTGTTAGCGATTCCAAGCACAATAGTTGGAAGCTTGGGAATCGATGAACAGTCGACGATATATAAATCGTAGGTTGAATTATGCCGGGCTCCAATGGCATTATTCAGAAGGAGAATATCCAGAGCAGGTCCAACTATTAGGGAGGTTCCCGTGTCCATTATAGCCTTGCATCCGCCAACGCAACCCCTTAAGCCCTTTCCATGGACCTCAATGAAATCCATTTTAAAGGTCCAGTACGTGGCCTCGATCACATTGGTGTAGGTCAAATAACCGTAGTACAGACTGGAGTTGGATCCACCGAGAATCATTGACCCACCGTCGCTGGAACCACTTTTCAGGTGGAACGAGAAGATTGGCTGCTCCACCAGTTTTTGATCAATCATCTGCTGGAATAGAGGTTTGGACCTCGTTTCGGAGAGTGGTGGAAAGCCCATTCCCCCGATTCCATCGAAAGCGTCGCAGGAGTCGGTAATGTTGACCAAACCAAGCCCTTGTTGTCGGATTTTTAGATCCCCCAAACCGACATCATCCGAGCCCACAATTCCCTGCACCGCTCCAGATCCATATTGTATGCTAAAGGGAACTCGTTTCGTATGAAAGGTTTTCGACTTGGACTCATTGAAGAACCTATTGCCGCATTTTGTAATGCAAACTTGGCAATGAGAACTGGGCACCCAAAAGTCCGAGGATCCTGTGTCGAAGAGCATCGTGAATGGTTGTCCTCCAACCGAAACTTCCCCGAAAAAGTTGGTGTTGTAGGCATCAATCAAGTTCTCTGATACAACTTCTCCTTTGGAAGCTCTTGATTGGCTTGTTTTTATACGGAGTGGAGTAAATCCGTACTTTCTTCGCAGGGCATTGCGGAATTGTAGGTGCTGATGGGCCTGGGGCACTTTGTGATGTCGATGGGATCTCCTTTGCAGTCTAAATCGGTGAACTTTACCAGCCACAAACACGACCAGACTGAGAAGTAGGATAATCACACGTAAATTCATGGTGGTGCACTGATTTAGCTCCTAGTCAATCCAACTGTTTTATAGCTTTACGTTTTTGTCATTTATTTAAATTTACACGTAAAGTTGGTTATGCATTGGACTTGAACTGAAATATGTGATATATTGTTGAAATTAATTTTAATCTGGGAGTAGCTTTATTTTACGAAGTGGGTTACATATTAAAAGTGGTTAATTTTATGAACAATAGGTTTTGATTAAAAAGTTATTAGTGGAAATAATATGTTAGCCGAATAATATTATGTAAATCAGTGAACTGCTGGGGCTATTCCAATTAGCTTATAGAAAGTATCGTACACCGTGTAGTAAACTCCCAAGAATACTTCGCCGAGAATCAACAAGGTGTTGCCTTTTAAGCTGGTAAATCCCGAAACACAAGTGTCTCCATATCGGAGCACATAATCGGTGGACTTCAAGCGAAATTCTCTGTGGGCAATGGTGAAGATGAAGTCCGGTAGATCACTGATCCTAGAGCAATCCACAAAAAAGACGCTGTTCGAAGAGTTCTTGTCTAGAATACCCAATATTTGATTGATTGAGGTCAGAAGTTTCTCAGGCACAACAATCAGAGAAGTGCCCACGTCGAGTATGGCCTCGCAATTGTCGCAAAAGCTGAACCCACTCACTTTGGCACTTTTCATTGTGAATTGCCAGTAGCCTGGCGTTGAAACGGGCACATAGGTCAGACATCCAGAATAAAGACCCGAATCTGTGCCTCCCAAAATCAACTCACCACCATTGATGGCATTCGTGCCATTTCTGTTTAGGTAAATGGAAAACACTGCCTTTTTAATCAGACCTTGAGTTACTAAATTGAAGAATGGTGGGGTAATATTGTCGATGGCAATGTTGGAGAATCCCAAGCCCATTATACCAACGAACTCCGACTTGAGAAATGCGGCGGCCTCTGGTGCATTGGTGACCTCAGCAAATGTCTGATTTTTTATGGAAAATCCAGCTATGTTTACTGTGTCCTGGGATTGAAAACCGGAGAGGGCAATAATTTCTCCGTCCCTATTTGAGCCATATTGGATACTGAATGTGGCATTCAAAGCCTTGTAAGTTGTGGATGCACTTGAGTTGTACTTTTGCTGACTCGCACAGGGTTTAAACGTGTCTGGGCACTTACTTGAGTAAACCCACAGATTCGCAGAGCCCGTATCGATCAGTACGTTTTGCTTCTGTGGGGGATTTCCAATGCCCAAGGATAGAAAATACTCCGTGTTATAGAGGTTTCCCAGTCTGGCCACCCCTGATCCTGGATCAATTGTTTCCGATTTCGAAGGAGCTACTGTTGTTGAATCATCAACCGTCAGTTTGTGCTTGATGGACAGGGTCTTCAGTTCGTTCTTTATATTTTGGTGAATTGGTTCAGGATTCCTGTGTAATCCAATTTTTACACGTTTGCGCGAGTCCACTTTCAAAGCCAAGAAAGTCAGTGCTGTTAGCCAGAACAGCAGTAACTTGAAACAGTTCCACTTGACCTTCATGGTCCGAGTTTTCGATTTGCCAATTGAGGCCTACTTGGTCACGTATTTATAGCGCTGCAGCTTGACTTCAGCTTCTTTCATTCAGATAATTAAAGCACTGCAGCTGAGGTCGATCGTTTCACACGAGAAGCGGAGAATTTCACACATTTTTGGGGGTGTCGGCTATCGTTAAATATGCGTAGAGTAAATATACAGTGGAACGAAAAGGTTGAATGGCTCACAAAAAGATGTTTCTACTTTTATGAATTTTATAAGTTGTTGAGCTGTGAATGCCAGTGGATTAAAAACTGTTTAATGATTTTAACGAGGTATGACATTCAAATATTTGACCATTATTTTCCGGTATTTTGATCAAAAGAACGAAACTGAAAATTAATGTTTTGGTCTTTTGGTCATAAAAAACATATATTTTAACACACATTTTTATGTGTTTTTTGTTGTAACTTTGCCAAAAAAGACTTACAACCAAGAAAATGACAGTTTTGTGCATCTAAGAACCTATGAAATCAATTCCAAGTTGATTTGTTAAAATTTATTTTTTGATTTTTTATAAGGGGTAACACTATAATTTTTTGCAAAAACTGGACCAAAATTAAATTTTTTAGGTGAGAATACCAATGGATTGGAAATTTTGTAGCGAATTCAACAAGGTATGACATTCTAAGATCTGATCATTATTTCCACGGGTTTTGATAAAAAAAACCGAAAATTTATTTGAATTTTTCCACATTTTGGCCATCAAAAACATAAATTTACACAACCTTTTTTTAAGTTTATTGTTCCAACTTAGCAAAAATAAGATGGAAAGCCAACAGAATGACTGTTTTGTGCAGCTGTGGACCTAAACTATTGCATTTTTGCATTTTTCATAAGGGGTAAGTAACATTATGGTTTTTTGCCAAAAACGCTGATGTCTAGTAATGCCTCGAGGTTCCAATTATTGTGGAAATGTAATTTCTATTACTTTTGGTTTTAAATTTTTGTTATCTTGGGATCGTAGTTAGTAGTAGTAGTAGTTTTTGCCCAGTTTACCCGTTCATCAATTTAAACTCAAATAATAATTAAAACTTGCATTTTTTTTACTTTTTCTAATCATCACTTAAGTTTAAAAAGTATTTAACAGATCGTTCGTTCGTTCGTTGAAGATTTAAGCCAGATTGGCGAAACCAACGCGGTTCTGGCCGAAGTCGAACTCGGAGTAGTACTGGCCCAGGAAGACGTCGCCCAGGATCCAGAAGTCGGTGCCGATGTAGGTGAAGGTGGACATGCATGTGGTGTAGTTGCCCTCGGTGTAGGTTTGTATGTATACCGAGGGGGGAGGTCGAAGTTGGTGCCGGCAATGTTGAAGGTCAGCACCGGCAGCGAGCTCACAGTGGCGCAGGACACATAGTACTCGCCCTGGATGAGGACGGCTCCGATCAGGGAGTTGACCTGGGAGTAGGCAGCCGGGGGACAGGCGATCAGAGAGGTTCCAGTATCGGCGATTGCCTGGCAGCCATCCGAGACCACGGTGCCGTTCCAGGTGATGTTGTTCACGGCGAACTGCCAGTAACCCTGCTGGGTGACCTCTGCGTAGGTCATCTCGCCAGCAATGAGGCTCTGATCGGTTCCACCCAATGCCAGTTGGCCACCCTCCTCCGAGGTGCCGTTCCTGGCCAAATAGAAGCCGAACACCGGCTCATCGATCAGTCCCTGCTCGTAGAGATTGTAGAACGGTGGCACCACATTGTCCTCGGCGATCTGCTGATATCCCATGCCCAAAATGCCATCGAAGGCCACGTCGGTGAAGCTGTCGCCGGGCTGGGAAACGGCCTCGCCGAAGGTCTGATTGGCAATGGCCAGGCCATCAATGGTCACCGTGTCTATGGCCAGGTAGCCCGTGACACTGCCAGTGCCGTATTGGATGGAGAAGTTCTGGCCACTGGACACGAACGTGGAGGAGGCACTGGAGTTGTACTGGTTGTGCTGCTGGCAGGCCACATCGGTGGCGAGGCACTGGGCAGATGGGATCCAGAGATTGGCCGAGCCCGTGTCGAAGACCACGTTGAAGTACTGCGGTGGAGTGCCAATGGTGATTTGGCCGTAGTAGTACATGTTCATCGAGTTGCCCAGCTCCTCGGTGGTGTAGTCGTCCGTATTCTGACTGGGATAGTCATTGTCGTAGTCGGGCTGCACGTAAATAGGAACTCCATCGTCGTAGATAATCAGATCATCCGTCTGATGGTACTTGTGCTTCAGAGCTCGAATCGCCTGCTTGCGATTCTTAAGGGTGTTCTTGTGATCCTGGTTCTTGTGGATCTTGATCCGCTGGATCTCAGCACTGGCCAAAGCCAGGATGGTCAACACAACCAGATACTTGAACATTTCACTTGGCTATCTTCTTGTAAAATTGTCTAATTATTTACGTTTGCCCTTTTTATTGTCTGGGGCTGGACTGAAGAAAACATCGGCAAGCACTGCTATTTATATGGTCGGTGATAAGTCGCAAACTGGCCCAAAATTGATCACCATTCATGATCGATAGTCCTTATCGATCTTGGCCTTTGTTTACACGGGTTGGTGTCGTGCATAAATGGGATTTTAGATAAACTTCCCGGTAATTCAGCCAACTTTCAATGAACATTTCTGGCAGTTAATTGCATATTTTGCACCCCAATGATAACAAACCTAATTTTGATGTCAACAAATCATGGAACATTTTGTTTTGATAATATTTTTTATATGATAATGTTTATTTTGTTATCTAGCAATTTACAATCAGCGAAATTTCGGTTACAATAGAAATACCTTTGTACAATAACGATATGTTTATTCTTTCCCACAACCATTTTTAGCTTCAACTTTTAGAAATATTCAATATATTTCTGCCCGCCACCAAATATAAATATTTTCTTTTAAAAAGCGGCATACAAAATTGTATCTTACTCTTTTAAAATTTCTTGGTAGGAACTACAGAAGTGATTGCTTACACTTTCGGTGCTATGCCGATAAGTTTAAGCCCGAAATCGAACAACAAGAAGAAGGCGCCGAAGAACACGTCGCCAAACACCCAGATATTGTTCAAGTCATCGCCATTATCATTGCTGGTATTTCCAGTGCAGTCGGAGAGACTCGCAAATCCCGATACGCAGGTTCCACTGTAGTTGAGAATGTAGTCGGACGGGGTCAATGTGAAGTCCTTCCATCCAATGTTCACGACAATATTCGGCAGACCTTTCGCCTTACTGCAGTCGATGGTGTAGACGCCATTCCTCTTGGCGGATTCCTTGATGCCCAGTTTGTTATTTATGATTTTAAGAGCCGGACAGGGAACAATTATCAGAGATGTTCCCGCATCGAACATGGCCTGGCAGTTATTGCAGAGTGTTTTGCTGCCTATCTTAATCTGGCCCACTGTGATCTGCCAAAAACCGACTTTGGAAAGGGGTACATAAGTCAGACACCCTCTATAAAGAGTGGGATCCGAACCGCCCAGCAGCAGCACTCCACCATTACTCGCATCTGAGTCGTTTCGGTTGACGTACAGGGAATAAATCGGATCTTCGATGAGTCCTTGGGCTATCATGTTATCCAGAGGGGTCATCACTCCATCGAGCGCTATTTGGGAAAGTCCCAGTCCAAGGATGCCATCGAAGTTGGAACGTTTGCAAAGACTCAGAGGGGCCGAGTCAATGACACCGAATGTCTGATTCTTCACAGACAAGTCGCCAATGGTAAAAGTGTCCGTGGAGAGAAATCCACTCAGATTGTCCTGCGAGGCATACTGTATTTGAAAGGACGTTCCATTAGCCTGATATGTCTGCGATTCACTGGAGTTGTATCCATTGTGTTGCAGGCAAGACTGCTTTGTGAAGTCCGACGAATAAACCCACAGATTTGATGAGGCGGTGTCTACGAGAAGAGTTACCTGCTGGCTTTTGGGCTGGCCAAAACTGACTTTGATATAGTATTCGGTGTTGTGGGAGTTGGTCAAGTTATCTACTGACACAGATTGTTTGCTCACGGCAAACGATTCTAGCACTACATCTGTAGATGTTTTCAGTAAATTCTGAAGCCTCAATTTTTGACTGTGGAAACTCCTGAGAATCTTGGTGTGATTGGTCTCCCTGTGCAGATTCAATTGCACGGATTTTCGCCATCTTTTCGATTCCACACAACTTTTAGTAAGGCACAAAATCAGCACTAAGGTCAGTGCCAGTCCGAGTTTCTTTGAAGACTGCATCGTACGTCGTCGTCACTTTGGCCCTAAATTAAGAATAGGTCACGTATTTATAGAAAACCAAGCGAAAATTCCATTGCAATCAGCTTGGCCTGAGGTATTTTCGGTTTATTGCACTGGCTTCAAACTAAATTAGTAGGAAAGGAGGTCAGGTGGCCGGAAGTTGCTGTTTTTTTAGTTACGTGATTTTATCCAGTGAATTGTAATAGAATTAAATGTAAATGATGTAAAATGTATTTCATAAAAATTTGTATTAGTTTTTGAAGTTTTAATAATTTTTTACAGAATCATTTAAATAATAAATTAAGCAATGCATTTTTTAAAATCTGGTTAATCCAGGAAACAAACGACGATTTTGTCATTAAAATATTTATGTAGATATATCTGTGTAAGATTCCAATGTTTATTAAGAACTATTTGTTCATCTATTTGTTTCACTACTGTAAAAATGCAACACGCGGATTAAATTGGTTTGCAATTTTTTTCATTTCTTTATATAAACATAAAGTGTTTATTTAGGTTTGCACTGTTCGTATCTTCAGAATGTACGCATGCAGTTTCTAAAAACGGGCATGGGCCTCCGGCTTTGTAAATAATTTGTTTTTGGAACTAAGCATTTACATAGGGCATTGGTTTAAATAATATATATATTTGGAAAACACTATAAAAGAGATCGGCGAACATTATCAAAATCAGTTCACAGGCAAAAGTTGCCTTTCGCGGTTCAAAGCTCTTAAAACTCTGTCGAAATGTTTAAGTTCGAAATATATTTAGTGTACGCTTTTGTCGGTTGCAGTCTGTACAGCATAGTTAATTCCCAGGAAAATGTGGACTCAGTTTGTATCCTGAAGGATGCCCCAAGTCAATGTGGGGCATTCTGCCTTTCCGCTCAACGGCCATTCATCGATCACAATTACAAAGTGCAGAGACAGATGAATTCCATTTCTGAAATGTTAAATAAAATTGAAAAAGCTGTATTGGCGGGACAAATAGAGTCTCCGAGTAATTTTGAAAGAATTCAACAAGAGGCACTGACGGCACAAAAGGAAAATCTGGCCAAGATGGACAGAATCGAAAACAGAGCACTGGTTACTCAGGAAAATATAGAAAGGATTCAAAGAGAAAATCAGGCCAAGATGGACAGAATTGAAAATCTAATTCTGGAGTCTCAAACATCTGTGGGGAGGATTCAAAGAGAAAATCAGACCACGAAGAACAGAATTTCCCAAGAGATGAAGAGCATCTCGATGGGTTTCCAGCGTATCGAATCTCGATATTTTTATATAGAAAATAATTTAAAAAAGCTTGGACTAATGCTGAGGACACCTGTCGTAGAATGGGAGGTCATCTAGCGGCTTTCCAAAGTCGAAGAGAACTGGACGCCGTATCATCGAAACTCTATCGAAATACTCCTTATTGGATAGGTATCAGCGACCGGGAAAATGAGGGATATTTTGTAACTGCCTCCGGCAATCGATTCCCATATTTGACATTTAACGAAGGAGAACCCAACAACAGCGGTGGCAATGAGGACTGCGTCGACATCTACAACGGAATTATGCACGATGCTCAGTGTGAATCGCTACGTTCTTATATTTGCCAGTTAGGCAATTAGCTATGTATAAATAAAACTGTAAACAAAAAGTGTCAAAATTACACAGTTCTTAACTTATCCGTCAAAAATGTCAATACTTTAAAAATTGTTTTTATTAAAAATTTTCAAAAATATATTGAAATTGTGTACAAATTGGAAGTTTAAAAATTACCTTGCAAGATGTTTCGGTTTTGCTGCTCGAAAAGACTAGGAAAAGTCTGGAGTGGTTTTAAACCATTGTTATTCCTAAAACTTGAAATTCACGTTTCAATCGAATTTCTTATTTCTTATATGGAGAATTGGTACAACTAAATTATTAATATTTTGAGCTTCCTGCTGATCGAGTGTGACATTGCGCGAATGTGGTTTCAAGCAACTAGTCTTTAGGTTTTACTCAAGAACAAATTGTTTAGTTTGGTTCTCAGGCCTTTAAGTTTCAAAGGTTCTAGAAGAGTGACGATATCTATCACACTCGGCCTATGTAATATATTTTTAAAAATATTTATATACACTTAAAGTAACTATGGTTTTTGTTAAATTTTTACATTTTAGAACATCGGATAGAAAACAGCTGTTATGAGCGCCATCTGCGCAACAGACAAACGAACTACATTTAATTGACATATACGTGTAGATAATACTGAGTAAGATTCCGCTGCTCATGTAGAAATATATTTTTGGGCAAAAGCTCATTTATTTCAAAGGTAAACAACTACAAATTCTAACGATGCTTCATTATATTTGAACGTCATTAAGTAGAGCCATTAAAAAAATATATATATTAAATAACATATTGTTCTGAAAGTCTACACGAAGTCGCCAAATATTTTAAGAATCAGTTCATGGGCAACAGTCGCCGTTGGTGGTTCACCCCTTTTCAAATTTTCAAAATGATTAAGTTCGGAATATATTTTGTATACGCATTTGTTGCTTGCAATCTATACGGAATTACTTACTCACAGAACCATACGAATTCGGTATGTATCCTGGAAGATGCGCCAAGTCAATGTGGGGCATTCTGCCTTTCCGCTCAACGGCCATTCATCGATTACAATTACAAAGTGCAGAGACAGATGAATTCCATTTCTGAAATGTTAGATAAAATTGAAAAAGCTACATTGGCGAGACAAATTGAGTCTCCGAGTAATTTTGAAAGAATTCAACAAGAGGCACTGACGGCACAAAAGGAAAATCTGGCCAAGATGGACAGAATTGAAAATCTAAAACTGGAGTCTCAAACATCTGCGGAGAGGATTCAAAGAGAAAATCAGGCCAAGATGGACAGAATTGAAAAAGGAACTCTGGAGACTCAGGCATCTCTGGAGAGGATTCAAAGAGAAAATCAGGCCACGATGAACAGAATTTCCCAAGAGATAAAGAGCATCTCGATGGGTTTCCAGTGGATCGAATCTCGATATTTTTATATAGAAAATAATTTTAAACAAACTTGGATTAATGCTGAGGACACCTGTCGTAGAATGGGAGGTCATCTAGCGGCTTTCCAAAGTCGAAGAGAATTGGATGCCGTATCATCGAAACTCCATCGAGATACTCCTTATTGGATGGGTATCAGCGACCGGGAAAATGAGGGATACTTTGTAACTTCCTCCGGCAATCGATTCCCATATTTGACATTTAATGATGGAGAGCCCAACAACAGCGGTGGCAATGAGGACTGCGTCGACATCTACAACGGAATTATGAACGATATTCAGTGTGAATCGCTACGTTCTTATATATGCCAGTTAGGCAATTAATTATGTATAATAAAACTGTAAACAATAGGTGTCAATGGTTTTGTTTAATTTTTAAATTTTACAACATCAGATATTAAACAGCTGTTATGAGCGCCATCTGCGCAGCGAGCAAGCGAACTACATTAATTTGACATATAAATGTAGATAATACTGTGTAAGATTCCGCTGCTCATGTAGAAATATTTTTTGGGCAAAAGCTCATTTATTTCAAAGGTAAACGACTACAAATTTGCATGATGCTTCATTATATTTGAACGTCATTAAGTAGAGCAATTAAAAAAAATATATTATTATATATATATTGTTCTGAAAGTCTACACGAAGTCGCCAAATATTTTAAGAATCAGTTCATGGGCAACAGTCGCCGTTGATGGTTCACCCCTTATTAAATCTTCAAAATGATTAAGTTCGGAATATATTTGTTATACGCATTTGTTGCTTGCAATCTATACGGGATGGCTTACTCTCAGAACCATTCCAATTCGGTTTGTATCCTGGAAGATGCCCCAAGTCAATGTGGGGCATTCTGCCTTTCCGCTCAACGGCCATTCATCGATCACAATTACAAAGTGCAGAGACAAATGGATTCCATTTCTGAAATTTTAAATGAAATCCAGAAGAGGCTGGACAGAATTGAAGAAGCTATACTGGCGGGACAAAAAGACTCTCCGAGTAATTTTGAAAGAAATCTACAAGATGCACAGACGTCCCAAAAGGAAAATCAGGCCAAAATGGAGAGAATCGCTAACGGATTACTGGTTACCGAGGCAAATATAGAAAGGATTCAAAGAGAAACTCAGGCCACGATGGACAGAATCGAAAAAGGAACGCTGGAGACTCAGGAGACGATTTTCCAAGAGGTCAAGAGCATCTCGATGGGTTTCCAGTGGATCGAGTCTCGATATTTTTATATAGAAAATAATTTTAAACAAACTTGGATTGATGCTGAGGACACCTGTCGTAAAATGGGAGGTCATCTAGCAGCTTTCCAAAATCAAAAAGAATTCAACGCCGTCACTGCGAAACTCCATCATAATATTGCATACTGGTTGGGCATCAGTGATCGGGAAAAGGAAGGCGAGTTTGTAACTGCCTCCGGAAATCCACCAACATTTTTGACTTGGAATAGGGGAGAACCCAACAATGCCGGTGGCAAGGAGGACTGTGTCAACATCTGGAACGGGAAAATAAATGACGTCCCGTGCGAATTTCAACGTCATTATATTTGCCAGTCGGACAATAAAGTATAAATAGAAGTACAAACAATTAAGTGTCAAAATTACACAGTACTTAACTTACCCGTCAAAAATGTTCATATCTTGTAGATTTTTTTATTTAAAAACTAAAAAAATATATTTAAAGTGTGTACAAATCGGAAGTTTTAAAATTACCTGACAAGTTTTTATGCTTTTGTTGCCCGTAAGGTCTTGGAAAAGTCTGGTGTGGTTTAAGACAATTATTACTTCTGAGTCTTGAAATTCTCGTGTCTTGTAATTCTTATATCATGGAGAATTGGCACAGCTAAATTATTAATTTTTTGATTGTCCTGCTGATCGAGTCTTTCAATCAATTAAAATTACAATTCTACAAAGCACATCACCAAACATACAAAAATTTTCATATTTTTCAAATAGAAGTACGTGCGATTCTTTTAAACTTAAATTCATTTTAGCATTTAACTTTAGCTACTTTTAATAATTGATACACATTGTTCCTATGAATTCCTTTCCAAAATTCCCTCACTAAAATCAATGACCGAAACAAAAAGTTTTCCAACTGGATAGGAGGAGGATTCCGCATCCTTTCACTGACTTTCGAGTTGACCCAAGCCTAAAGAAAGCTGGCAGTCAAATCCTTTTTCCTTTGGCCAATAATGAATGCAAACGAAAGTGATTGCAAAAGTTTTCCAAGGCGCTCACCGACCGAACCACGCCTCATTTACCCACCGAAAATAAACCAAGTTTTATTTGCTAATTGCAGTAAAAGTGTAGCCAAAGTGAGGAGTCTGCCCGCAGCTCGGGAAAAACTTCGATTTCAATTGGAGTTCCTTCCTATTTTACGAAAAAACTGCCTTTGGCGTTGACAGCGCTTACAAAAATTTTTCCCCAACAAAGGGAGTTTACTCTATGTTCAATTACTCTCTCAAATCACCTTTAAGATTTTTTAAGTTATATGAAAAAGTATTTTTTTTTAAAGGTATAGAACATTTTTTTTTATGCCAATTAATTCAACAACATTCACATTTGAAAGCCTTTAATAACATATCTTTTAAGGTAAAAAGTAAAGTAGGAATAAGTTACTTTATAAAATCCCAAAATTGCTTCTGCAATCTGTAATTAACAGATAAATACATTTATATAATTTTAACAATACCAGTTTTTAGTTTTTAAAGCAAAACTAATACCCCAAAAGTGCAAAAAAGAACTGCCCTGTTTCGGTTTTGGGGGTAAAAGTTGACTGGCATCGTTTTTCCGCAAATTTCTTTGCAAGTTTTTCCGCCATCCGGCTGTGAGTTTCCGTGGGTGAGGACTTCGAGGATGTGGAGACCCATGTTGTAATTGAATTTGCGTCAAGTTCCATTAAGTGGCGTAAACTTTTGGCCTCTGGAATTGAACTTGGCTCACCGCATGTGCATTTTTCGTATGTTTATCGCACAGTTGCGATGTATTTTCCGTTCTTTCTTTCGGATCGATTCCGCTTGACGACAAGTTTTGGATGGGGAAAGCTAAAAAGTGAAAAGAAAAGTAAAGAAAAGAAAGGAAAACCGTGATAAGTCTGTGCTGTCAGTCTCAGGGGTCGCATATGTGCGGTTATCAATGAAGCATTAAATTGTTTCTGGCATTTTACAATGGCATCTCATCTGCCGAAAACCCCTACTTTTCATTTAGGACCCTTGTAAATCACATGAAAATCAAGCCCAGTCCATCGCCATCATCATTATAATCAACTATACGCAACTGATTTCGTATGCAGGACCATACAGTCCCCTCAAAGTGGGATCCTTTTTGCAGGTTTAATTTAGCATTTCAAATTTATGCATTTTATTTTGCCAAATGCATTAAATTGTTAATGTTTGGCATTTTGTGAGGAACTTCGGAATGGGTGCGGGTTTTGCTTTATCCCTAACATTGTATTGGGGTCACAGCTGCTGCCTCGCTGCGTGTTTCAACATCAAATATTAAGATTGCCTGCGACAGCTGGTGACATCTTTTTTACGCATACTTTTTTATGCCACACTTGCCATTTTTTTCGTTATATCTTTTATCACTTATCACCCTCTTGTTAAAATCTCAGACGTGTGGACAGCCATTTTGTATAGATTTATTATAAAAACATTCTGGATCTAGTTGCAGAGTTATAATACACCAAAAAAGCCTAAATACATTTCTAAACAAATGGGCTCTTAAAAATAAAGTAATGTAGGTAGCTATAACAAGATGAAATATTTATTTTAAAATTAATTTTCACATATTTTTTAGAACATTCGTTTGTGCTTAACTTTTATCCATAGGTATAATTTAGAATATTATAATAATCTAATCTAAGCTAAGCTTCTTTTCATGAATCCTTTCACAACAAGATTATATCATTACCCTAAAATAACATTAATCAATTTAAATAAGGAGGCATATCTAATAAGGATAATACATTTTCATCGGAAATCATGAGCACTACCCACTCCATAAGAAAACCTGTCAAAAAGTCATTTGTCAGCTCCAATTCCATGTCATTCCATTGAATTCTCAGTCCAATTAAACGATTCACCCAAAGGCGGAATACGTTCATGCAAAACAATTTATCAACTTGTCAACATATTATATGAGACTGGGTTAAAGACTTTGCTCCATACCAAACTCTGCCAAACACAAAAATACAACTACACCATTGCCCATTCAATCCATCCCCTTCAATCCGTCAATTCAATGACGAAACTCCAATAATATGCCAACTGCCAATATTGCGTATACGTAGCGTTGTACGTCCATTGTTCCCGAACCGAAATGTTTTGCTAGCTGGGATTTGTTTAGCAGTAAGCGGAAATAGTTGTAGGCCAATACGACAGGGGTATGGAATGGGGGCCTAAACCGGAGAGCATGTTGTGTATGTTGTTGAAGTTTATATGCAGGATAAACTGTTCAACCAACTGACGTACACAGCATGTCCAGATTTCAGGACGAAGGCTCGGCTCAGCTCAGTCTGCCATAAAAGCAAATAACTGTCGTGTGTGTGCACTTGGGTGTGTGTTTTAGTTAACTGAACTATAGTTGTAGTGTCTGCGTTTGGACACACGCAAATACACACATTCGCCGGCATATATATAGATATATTCTAATATGTTTGTCCATCAATTGTCCTGTCCGAACTCGAAGCCAGTGCAAACATGCTGGAATCCAAATCCTTGCCCCCTTCTGCGGTCGGGGTCAAGTCAACATTTCTGTTCCGAGTCAGTTAATAAATATTTTTTATGCCACATCAACGAGCAAAGTAAATATACCGTAAAAAAGACGTCATCACAGTGTATGGTAAATATATTTCAAAATGATCTTTGTTTGGCTGTCGGTTTATGGGCTTCGCAGCTGTTGCATTTCTCCCAAGTTGTTTGAGGTCTTTTCCCTGTGTTTATTTGCTTATTTGTGGCCTTTGAAATGGCCACATTTTCAGAGCCAAGTTATGTTTATTGTTTTCGTTATTGGAGGCCTCAGCAGTGGCCAATATTGTGGATAAACAAGGTGGGCAATGAATGTAAATCCCAATTAATTGGTCAATACGGTGAATGCAAAGTTTAGTTTTACTTTACATTTGAGTAAATAAGGCTGACGAAAGGGGATTGTGTGAATTCTGCATCAGGAGAATTAAATGTATTATATGCTAATCTTTTATTGGAAGTGTCCTAAAAACTTAAAATGTGGCTAAAAGTAAGTCACCTAAAAATAATGTTCTGTTAAAACTAGGTCTGTCCCCCTCATCTATTTAGGCCAATTTAATGCCTGACGAGAAAACTTTGTATATTGGCCACATTTACGTAGCCTATCCCCCAAAGCCACGCCCCTCCAATAAAATGGAGAAGCCCAAAGTGAAACCAGTCCAATCGGAAACTCTCTGGAGGGAAATAACTCAGGCAACGATGACCCCCCACTCCTTGGGTATTCCCAAAATGGAAATGCCACCAGGAAATCTCCGAACACATGTTTGGAAAAGGTGGGAGTGCCACGCCTCTCTACAAGGATTTTTCCAGGCTCAAAATGGGAGGGAGCCATCTATTAAGGTTTGACATTAGCATGAAAAACGCATTTCTCTTCAAGCACAAACAATAAAGAAAAGTCTGGGATGGAAAATGGTTGAAAAAGAGGGGAAAAGAGAAAATGTTTTAAATAACTTTTCGGCAAAGTTTCCATTCTTATAAAGGTGACAAAGGCATTCCGATTCCCAGCATTCAATATCGTTACGATTCTGATTGAATCAAATTGTTAGAATTTATTTCTCGCCTTAACCACCCCGAAAAAAAAGTTTATTGTATTTTTCTTTTGGCATATTTATGCAATTGAATTGTTTACATTGAAATAACGATTTCGAAGGGTTCGCAAGTTTGGGACTTTCTGCATGTGCCATTGGCAGCTTAAAAGCTTTTTCAGTTTTGCAAAGTTTGTTGACATCCAAAAGTCAAACGACATTGATGAATTCGAGTTCGATGGGTGCAATATTTTGGTTGGCAAATTGTGACGAACAAGAGTGAAAATACATTGATGGAGATCTCTTAAATTAGCAGGTATTTGATATTCAAGGCAAATCAGGGGAGATTTTAAATATACCAATTATGCAAACAAACTTTAGAAAAATGAATTCTAAACATATATAAAGCTATAAATAAATATTTAAATATTTAGTTCCAAGAATAGAAAGATCTAAACGAGGTAAACCAACTTAACATGAGCAATTTCTATTAATAAACAAATACAAATAATTATATCACAAGATTACAATAATAATTGGTTTGCCCTTGTCAATCTCTGAGCTTCTGTTCCCATTCCTTAATTTTTGTTGGCAGATTAAGGAAAACGCGTCTGCTGACTACTGATAAGCGGCAATCAAAGCTTAACCCACAGACTAAGCCAAACACACACGAAATCCTTATCAAATCCCAGCCAAGAACAAAGGCCAAAGTGAAGCAAAAACTTTGCAATGTCTCAGTCTGATAGAAACTTTTAGCTTTTGGCCCATTGACAAAAGTTGACATATGCAAAAATACGGAAAATGAGAGGCAAAAAATATATATACAAATTATCAGCACATTTATCTGGGGAGAAAAAAGGCTGGGAAGTGGGAAAATGATGCTGGAATGAAAAGTTTTGATTTATTTTTAA